TTAACACCGGTGCCCCTCAAGGCTGCGTGCTCAGCCCTCTCCTCTACTCCCTGTTCACCCACGACTGCGTGGCCACACACAGCTCCAACACCATCGTGAAGTTTGCTGATGACACGACCGTCATCGGCCAGATCACAGACGATGACGAGACGGCGTACAGAGAGGAGGTCGAAAACCTGACATCTTGGTGCCAGGAGAACAACCTCCATCTCAACATCAGCAAAACAAAGGAGCTGATTGTGGACTACAGGAAGCAGCAGGGAGAGGGACACGCCCCCATCGCCATCAATGGGACTACGGTGGAGAGAGTCAAAAGCTTCAGGTTCCTTGGGGTCCACATCACTGAGGACCTGACATGGTCTCTTCACACCACCACCATCACCAAGAAAGCTCGACAGCGGCTCTTCTTCCTCCGCAGGCTGAGGAGGTTCAAAATGGATTCCAGGATACTCTGCAACTTCTACAGGTGCACGATAGAGAGTATCCTCACTGGCAGCATGACGGCCTGGTACGGCAGCTGCACCGACCTCGATCGTAAGGCTTTACAGAGGGTGGTGAAAACTGCACAGCACATCACCAGGACGGAGCTGCCATCCATGGAGGACCTTTACTCCCAGCGGCTCAGGAAGAAATCACTACGGATTATCAAAGACCCCCATCACCCCAGCCACAAACTGTTCTTTCTGTTGCCGTCTGGCAGACGTTACCGCAGCATCCTGGCAAAGACAAGAAGATTCGGAGACAGTTTCTTCCCGCGGGCAGTGAGACTGTTAAACAATTGAACTGTTGAAACAACATCAAACATTCAACTGCTACTCAGTAGTATGTATCTAATACCTAATATATATATATCATTCCAATAACTTGTATATAGACTCATACTGCACTATTCCACATCATAACTTTATTTCATTTTTATAACATTATTATTTTTGTATTGCTCTTGCTCTTATTGTTATTATGTTATGTTATTATGTTGCATTGTTGGAGAAGCCTGTGACATAAGATTTTCAACTGCATAATTACTCTGTAGCTATGTCAGATTGACAATAAAGAACCTTGAACCTTGAACCTTGAACCAATAGTATGACTTTAGGACCTTTAATAACATGCAATAATATGACTTTAGGACCTTTAATAACATGCAATAGTATGACTTTAGGACCTTTAATAACATGCAATAATATGACTTTAGGACCTTTAATAACATGCAATAATATGACTTTAGGACCTTTAATAACATGCAATAATATGACTTTAGGACCTTTAATAACATGCAATAGTATGACTTTAGGACCTTTAATAACATGCAATAGTATGACTTTAGGACCTTTAATAACATGCAATAATATGACTTTAGGACCTTTAATAACATGCAATAATATGACTTTAGGACCTTTAATTTAGGACCTTTAATAACATGCAATAATATGACTTTAGGACCTTTAATAACATGCAATAATATGACTTTAGGACCTTTTAATAACATGCAATATATGACTTTAGGACCTTTAATAACATGCAATAATATGACTTTAGGACCTTTAAGTAATAACATGCAATAATATGACTTTAGGACCTTTAATAACATGCAATAATATGACTTTAGGACCTTTAATAACATGCAATAGTATGACTTTAGGACCTTTAATAACATGCAATAATATGACTTTAGGACCTTTAATAACATGCATAGTATGACTTTAGGACCTTTAATAACATGCAATAGTATGACTTTAGGACCTTTAATAACATGCAATAGTATGACTTTAGGACCTTTAATAACATGCAATAGTATGACTTTAGGACCTTTAATAACATGCAATAGTATGACTTTAGGACCTTTAATAACATGCAATAGTATGACTTTAGGACCTTTAATAACATGCAATAGTATGACTTTAGGACCTTTAATAACATGCAATAGTATGACTTTAGGACCTTAATAAACATGCAATAGTATGACTTTAGGACCTTTAATAACATGCAATAGTATGACTTTAGGACCTTTAATAACATGCAATAATATGACTTTAGGACCTTTAATAACATGCAATAATATGACTTTAGGACCTTTAATAACATGCAATAGTATGACTTTAGGACCTTTAATAACATGCAATAGTATGACTTTAGGACCTTTAATAACATGCAATAATATGACTTTAGGACCTTTAATAACATACAATAGTATGACTTTAGGACCTTTAATAACATGCAATAATATGACTTTAGGACCTTTAATAACATGCAATAATATGACTTTAGGACCTTTAATAACATGCAATAGTATGACTTTAGGACCTTTAATAACATGCAATAATATGACTTTAGGACCTTTAATAACATACAATAGTATGACTTTAGGACCTTTAATAACATGCAATAGTATGACTTTAGGACCTTTAATAACATGCAATAATATGACTTTTCACAACAAGCTATGACCTTTTTTTAGACTCTTTACGAAACCCAATACTTTATCATTTTATACCATACTATACAATAACTTTGTAATCATATACATCGTGTACATAGACCTTCTCAAGACTTATTTTAAAATACTAGACAAAGAATTCTCATATCATACGGTACCATGACTTCTTGTGACGTAGCTTACGACTCTTCAAGGACTTTTGACAAAAATCTATGACTTTTTACGAAATACTAAACGCTGACTTCTTTATGTCATATACTCGGACTTCTCATAACATCATAAGCTATCAGTTTCTGTTTCATACTATAGTTTGACTTTTTAGGACCTTTTATGACGTAAACTATGACTTTTAATAACACAACCATTTTGTTATGACTGTTACGTTCCCTACTGGACTAAGGGAACCAAAGGGAAGTAACAAAATACAAAACAACCGGGCAAGAGTAAAAAGGAGAGGAAACCGGTTTGTGAAGCCACAAGATGGTTTTTTAATTCATCAAAGAAAAAGGGCTCACCAGCCACTTTCAAAGTAAACTAAGATAAACTAGAACAACTTTCTTCTAACAGAAAGTGACTCAATTAAACATCTCCTAACAATGAACAACACACACGTTAAACTAGGCCTCACACAGAGACACAGAGACACAGACACCATGCTGCACACACGCAGCCAGAGGAGAAAGAGAGAGCGACTGCAGCCTTCCTCAGGTCCTTTATGGAGGCCCTGATTGGGAGCACCTGAGGGAGAGGCTGCACCTGAGGGAGACAATCAGAGGGAGAGGGAGAGAGACACACAAGCACCCACTACGGCACGTAACAACGACAAACTATAGGCCTACCACAACATTTTTTTAACTTTTGAAGACATCGTGTACGTAGACCTTTTCAGGACTTATTTTCAAATACTCGCTGTCATATCTGTGAGGGAATAATTTGCCCTAGTGTCCTCTTTCGCCCTCTGACGCAGATGCCCAGCCTTGAGCAGCCGTTATCTCCCTTAAGGAGGGGCTGCCCTAGAAAGTTGTTGTTACCAGTTTGTGACCGGGCAGCTCTCGGTCAGAGATAGTTATTGTTGTGGGACACCTGGAACACATCCTTCTCGGGGTGTAGATGACCCCGAGCCATAAGCGACAACAAATGTGATTCAGTGTCCTCAGCTGTTTAGTCTATTGAAGAATGTTGATTATTACACTCTGAACTAGTTAGAACCTGGAGCTACAGGAGGGGTCTTCAGAATTGGTTTGGCAACCTTGGTGACACGTCTTGTGAATTCTCCGGCCGAAGCTCCAAATAAACCGTCAGTGTTTGCCATCAAAGTTCCTCGCCATGTCTCTCTGAGTTTCGTCTCCATTGCTTCAGAAGTTTCCATCACAATATCAAACTGTGCCATGACGTTTTATCACGTACTCTTTTTGGACTTTTGACAAAATACTATACAATGACCGTTGGAGCTATATTTTGATTTATATTATTGAATAGTTAAACATTTAATTTCTCGCTGTTTTCGTATATAGTGACTGTATTATATTTATAATACTACATTCACTTAATATAGTATGAAGGTGTATTTGGGCACCTGGTGTAATTGTATATATTGGAGACAGGTGGTGGTGGGAATAGAGCACGAGTATGGCATATGGTGTATTACCAGGAGAACACGAGGAGGCCACAGGAAAGAGTGATAGACCTTAATTTGTTGCATATTGTTAGAGTAATACAATGCACAGAAAGGACTCTGGCCTGGATCCTTGAACTCTGCGTAAGATCCGCTAACTGGTTGTTTTTATTTGATTTACATTTCTGGTTCACTTCTTAGGATTTTAGAATTACTTTTATAACTTACTTTACTAAAGTTGTACACGATGCGATCAAAGAGGAGTCTCTATTGGACCAGCAGGGGGCAGCATCTTCATTTTACTGTCATTAACAGTTTCAGAATCAGATTCTTTATCACCAGGTAGATTACCACGTACGAGGAATTTGACTTGATGTCATGGTGCATACATAAAAGTAAAACACAGATAGAAAACTATTTTAAGAAAACATAGCAGTATTTACATTGACATATAATTGTATTGCACAAAATACTATACAATAACTTTTATCACCTTACTTTTTTAGGACATACCTTACCAGGACTTTTTACGACGGCGTCTAAAAAAACCTTTGACTTGTTTCCAGAACTCTCTCTTTAGGAAATGGGTCGACTGAGACGTTTGTTTTGGGTGTTCGTTTATTTAAAAAGGGAATAGCTCAATATCAATTATAACTGACATGGTTGATTTTCGCAGTAACTCACTGTTTTCATAATTGTTGCACAAAAATGACCAGACTTTGAGTCAAGTGTTAGTTGATTGAAGTTAAGATAAACCTTTATTGAGTCAGGTGTGAAAGAGGATAGGAATATTATTATTATTAATATATCATTTTCTCAGTTACCTTTTCCTTTAAGTCCTGTTTCTTAATCAATGAATGCTCGACCAGGACTTTTTATGACAGCGTCTAAAAAAACCTTTGACTTGTTTCCAGAACTCTCTCTTTAGGAAAAGGGTCGACTGAGACGTTTGTTTTGGATGTTCGTTTATTTAAAAAGGGAATACAAAAACAACAGTGTAGAGATGTAGAGACAAAGCAAGCAGACATGTCCATCAGAACAACGACACAGAAGCAGTTCAGCGCCTTCAAGCATTTCCTGTTCACTACGACTACGGCTAACTACCAGCTGCACACCTGTCCAAAGGTCAAAGGTCACCTGGGGTTCCCTACAGTTGGTTTCTAACAGAGGTGACGGCAGCAGGAGCGTAACGGGAAACAAAGTCAAGATTTTACTTTTTGTTCGGCAAGCTTTAGGAAGCCTCGTTAGCATGAAAAGTAAAAAACGAGTGGAGCACCCTGATTGGATAAAGGACCCAAAGACAGCCTTCGTTAGAAAACGGAAGGCGATTAATACGTGTTGAAACAAGGTTCATTTATATATCCTGAGATAAAAGAAATCTCAGATACAAGTCAGAGTTTTCATCTCAAAATGTTTAAATGAACCCTTTTCACGGGGTCCGCATCTGCAATCAAAGAAGGGTTAAAAAAATCCCTAAATAAAATAAGATTAAAGCGAGTCAAAACATAAATATAACCATTTTATGCATATATTATGAACCACATCTGGAACTGTGGGCTAGAAAATAATCTCAAAGTTTAAAGTGCAACTTTACAAAGAAACGATAAAAGAAATACTGTGATTGGAAAGCGTATACTGTCGGGGAATATCAGAGAATCAGTCCAGAGGGGAGGAGCGCGGGAGCTTTGAGAAGTTCATCAACACAGCAAGAAGACACGCAGACTGTCGGCCATGTTGAGATGAATCCGTAAAGTTCCCAGCAGTCTTTGCTCCTTCCTCCCGTGGCTGAAGGGGGGAAATCACCGAGCGTCAAAAAGCACCGCCGCCGGGTTCCTCACGCCGTCATCTTCAGTCGTCCTGCGGAGGAAACCAGACCATCAGACAGCAGCCCCACACGTATCGTTTTCTGAGTTACTCTTCCACCTCAAGTCTTAGTTTTTAATCATAATTAGTCAACCTTCTTAATCAACTTATAACTGACATTTTATTTAACTCACTGTTTTCATAATTGTTACACAAAAATGACCACTTGTGTTAGTTAAAGTTAAGATAAACCTTTATTGAAACACAGGATTTTTTCAGTTACTTTTGGTTTTCATTAGTTTGTAATCGTATTTAGTCTAATCCTGTTTCTTAATCAATTAATGAATGAGAGTGTTACTTTTACCTTTTAAGTCGTAGTTTTCATTCGTTTTTAAAAGTTAAAGTTAATAAAAACTAACAACCGTTTTTCACCTAAAACTTTCCTAAAAGTCTGGGATATTTAAAAAAGAATCTGTCCAGAATGTTGGATAAGGTTGACTAATTTTGATAAAAACCAACTGAAGACAACTGATTTTATTAGCTAGCCAAAACTTGCCTAAAAGTGAAAGAAAACCAGAACATCAGACAGCAGCCCGATCACATCAAGTTACGTTTCCACCTGAAGTCTTAGTTCACAATAGTTTGTATCATATTTCGTCAACCTCATCAAATAATAACTTACAGGGTTAATTTCCTCAGTAACTTTTTATTTTGACTTTTCATTCTTGTTTTTTCAAATCATATTAAGTCAACCAAAACGTTGCTAAATGTCTGGATATTTATCAAATAAGATGAACATTTATTGGTCCCTTTCAGAGTGAAAAACACAATATAATTTAACATTTTTATGAATTATAATTCTTATCTTAGTGATAGAAAACCAGTCCATCAGACCTGTCAAGAAGCTTCTCATCTACTTTTTAAAATGTGTATTCTTGAAATAAAGTTGACTAAATATGATACAAACTGTTTTCCTTAGTCACCCAGCAAATATTTACAGAAAGAAAACCAGACCATCAGACAGCAGCCCCATCACAGTGTTAATGTAACAAAATAAACCAACATTTATCCAGATATGTATTCAGCTCATTATTCACCTTCACTTAAAGCTACAGAAACCTTTAACTTATAACAAATATTCAGCAACTTAAGGACACCAACTCAACCACAACGCCCCATCGCTCTGAAGTCACAAGGAGAAGCCCAGGGTTTAAGCCTTCTGCCTTACTTTAAGGACTTTTTATTATTATTTATATGTTTTGAATTAAGCTTTGTTATATAGCATAACATTTGGCATGGGTTGGGTTAGGAGTATTGTTAGTGTACGTCAGCTCCTATAATAAAGTGTGTATCCAGAATACAGACACAAATGTAAACATTGAAATCCCAATTTATAAAAACCCTGCATTTTGAGTCCCGGCTTCAAATTTGAATTTTTTACAATTCTTTACCATATGGATTTTTGATGCATTTTGTTTCAGAAAATATAAATAAATTAATTAAATAAAAACATTAAACAATAAAAGTGGTTTAATGTACACAAAGTGGCATTTAAGGGGTTAAAATTGTTAAAATAAAATAATATGTTCTAGTAATGATAAGACTCTGAAGGTGGTAAGTTATAATATAATATATAACTATATGGACTATTTAAAAAATAAAATTTAAGTGAGGTACAAGGGTTAAATACTATTATTAAAAAAGGTCCAGGAAGTGATTAGCCTAGCCTTGGACCGCTCCGTTAAACAAGGTGAGGATTAATAGAGCGGTGCAGGGATGACGTATTTTTGTAGTTCGACCCTGAAGGAAGCTGCTGGTTCCCTCGACAAAAAAGCAACGGGATTTCTCCATAGGATTTTGGAAAAGAGCTGGAAATAAGGTCTGTGGAAAACAAAGCTGTTTGATAAATGCACGTTTTGTTCAGCCGGATAATCTCCACATGTCTAGCCTACTTTTATAATTTTATAAATCATAAATCTAATCTCCAGAAGCTAAATGCTAACGTTATGCTATAAAGGAACTACAGCCGAGTACAGCAGCACGACGTCAACGTCACGCCAACTTCAGATCCATATTCAAACACACAGATTCTAAATGGTACGAGTTGAAGTGTTAGTTTGAACAGTTAGCAGGAGGCAGGTACTTGCTTTCAAGCAGAACAGGGCAAACAAACTTAGAGGAGTGTTTACGTGTTCGGCGTAATGACGTACAACGTCCTCCACAACTTCTGTAGTCCTATTCAGCCACTTGGTAACAACCATCGTTTTTCAGACACGTCAACTCTTCAGAAATCACCAGTGGGGTCACTGCTGATGGATTTAATGTCGTAAAACAAAACGTGATCCGTCTCTTCAATGTGTCTCAACCACAGACCTTATTTCAGATATTTTCCAAAAACATGTTAAAAAAACCATTGGCTCTGAGACGAGGGAACAGGAAGTGGTGAAATGCTGACTCACTTCCTGGTCTTAGGACTCATTCCTGCACCACCAGTTTAATTTCCTTGTGACTTGACCTCGGAGACGATGGGGAACAGGCGACGCAAACATCAGTGCGTGGGCTCAGTGGGCCCTGAACGCAGCCTGCAGGCAGAAGCAGCTCTGAGGTGACCGGTGTGGGGGGTTATTTAGGGTTATTGAGGGGGGGGGGGGGGGGGCACCATGCCATGCTGAGCGCTTCCATGCCAAGCTGTCAACCAATCAGCATTCACCCCCACCTACCTGCCCACCGTCCCCAACCAATGGGCTGGCTCTGTCTACCTGCCTGTCTGCAAACCAACCAATCACAACACAGCGTGAGGACACACAGGAAGTGGAAGGAGGGTTCCTACATTTTCCACAATGCCTTTGGTAAAACTCCAGAAAACTGGTGAGAAGAGCGCTGAATACCAGTGTGTATTTATACTTTAAATGTACTGCTTATGTATATGTACTACCTGTGGACAGCAGTGTGTTTTTATACATTTATACAGTGGAGGAAATAAGTATTTGATCCTTTGCTGATTCTGTAAGTTTACCCACAAATGAACAGTCTATCATTTTAATGGTAGGTTTATTTGACTAATGAGAGACAGAATATCAAAAAGAATATGCAGAAATGTAAATTATATAAGATATAAATTAAGTATTTTATAGACTGTTAATTTCTTTGTAAGTGGGCAAACTTACTAAATCTGCAAGGGATCAAATACTTATTTCCTCCACTGTATATGTAGTACCTGCAGACAGCTGTGTGTATAGTGTGTATTTGTACAGTATATACAGTGTGTAATAGTACCTGCAGACAGCTGTGTGTATAGTGTGTATGTGTACAGTATATACAGTGTGTAATGGTACCTACAGACAGCTGTGTGTATAGTTTGTATTTGTACAGTATATACAGTGTGTACTGTGTGTAATAGTACCTGCGGACAGCTGTATTACTGTGTGTATTTGTACAGTATTTACAGTATATATAGTGTGTATTAGTACCTGCAGACAGCTGGGACTGGGACCTCCTCCTGGAGCTGGGCGTTCTGGAGCTGGAGGAGAAAGAGAGGGAGGACCCAGCGCTGCTCGCCCGAGAGATGGGGAGAGGGACGGGGGTCACCGGGGGGGGAGTCCAGCTGGGGGGGGGGGGGGGGGGGGGGGGGGCACAATACAGAGAATTATATAATAAAATACAAAATACAAAAATAACTTCAAATAAGAATAAAATACAAAAATAACAATGATGTCCGCTGTAAACTCTGTGAATCCCCGTTACCTCGACGCTGTCGTGCGTTGGCGAGGAAGAGGTGGACGAGTTCTCGTGTTTCCTGGAGGACGAAGACGAGGCGCTGAACTCCACGCTGCGAACGCGCTGAGCGAACTTCAGCGAGCAGACCGACTCGCTCGCGTTCCCGGGCAGCGGAGACACCTGAACGCACCACAGGGAGATAGTCAGGGAAACATAACAGAGAAACTAACTCAGGGTCTTATTCTCCAGCCTACACACCATGGTCTGGTCCTTTCATTTAATTGATTACAAAAGACCCCCGTCACCCCAGAAACAAACTGTTCTGTCTGCAGCATCAGGACTAAAACCACCAGACTCAGAGACACTTTCATACCACCTGAACTCTGTGAACAACATCCATAACATTCATCTGTTTGCATTTAGAAAATAAGGTATCTATATATCATATTCCACTTACTTGTATATAGACTCTTCTTGCACTATTTCTATTTAATTGTATTTACTTGCACATCTCAAAACATTCTCTTGCACTATTTTATCTGTTCTATCTGTTCTATGTTGGAGGAGGACTTCAGTGTTTCATTGCCATATCTCCACTGTAGCTGCTGAGCACATAAAGCCTTGAATTGAGTGATGGTCTCACCTGCACCATCATCAGGGTCTTGCTGTCCCCGTTCAGAGAGTCCTGCAGCAGGTAGGTGAGGCGGGAGTTCCTGAAGGGGACGTGGGAGTGTTTCCCCCGCAGAGCGTTGATGACGTCTCCGAGCGCCGACAGTGACTTGTTGATGCACTGTGCCTCTCGCAGGCGGCTGCCTTCAGCGCCTGACTTCCCGATCCGCTCCGAGCCCGCCAGGTCCACCAGGTTCAGCTTCCCTAAAGAGAGACACACACACACACACACACCCCCAGATGTTAAAGAACGGTCGTTTAGAGACCATTAGCGCTGTTAGCATGTGACGTATGAGGTACCACAAGGCTCTGTACTGGGACCTTTACTTTTTATATGTATCCGATATACAATACTCGGCAGAACCTCAGACACAAAATGTGCTTTATTTTGAAGGGTCCCAAATTAAAGTTCATTTAATAAAATAAATAAGTTAGTAAATATAACAAAAATGTGATCTAAATGTATAAAGAAGTAGTAAATAACGTAAACATACATAAGTATGAGTGAGTGAGTGAGTGAGTGAGTGAGTGAGTGAGTGAGTGAGTGAGTGAGTGAGTGAGTGAGTGAGTGAGTGTGTGTGTGTGTACCTTGAGTGCGGTTCCCAGTAGCGACGTTGAATCCCGTCACGGTGATGATGAGCAGAGCGTGGGAACGAGAGCTGTGCTCGTTCAGGTTAGTGCAGGCCGTCGCTCTGTTCATGTGACCCAGCTCAAACACCTAACACACACACACACACACACACACACACACACACACACACAAATTGAACTTAAAAGGACACAAAGTCATCTAAAAGTCTATTTTATTTGTTTAAAACAACAACAAAAAACTTTAAGAAGCTCTATTCTTCTCCTGTATTGTGTTATATAGTTGTTAGTGCATGTAAATGGGCTGCAAAGGCTAAAATCCCTGTGTTCCCTCCAGAGGGAGTTTCTCTCTCACACACACAGATACCAGCAGCTGGCCAGAGGTGTTTTACTCTGAAAGGGACAGGAGGTGTTTTTCTCTGAAAGGGACAGGAAGTGTTTTACTCTGAAAGGGACAGGAAGTGTTTTACTCTGAAAGGGACAGGAAGTCAATGTTTTACTCTGAAAGGGACAGGAAGTGCTCACCCGGTTGATGTCCTCCGGGCTCTGAACGGTGAACTCGGTGAGTCCGGGGACGTAAAGCTGTCCGCTGCCGTCAGGGTTCAACTTAATGTCCAACTTATCAGAGGGGTTTTCCCCCAGAAGGTTCCTGAGCAACGACAAACAGAGGGGAGGCGTTAGGATGGCAGACATTTACATTTTATAAGACTACATTTGAACATATCATAATAATGTTATAATTCACCTTACACCTTATCAAATGTGTACTGAACAGAGCCTGAATTCACAACAATGTATACCAATAGCACCTTAGTTTACAGGCTGCTAACTGCTAACAGTCAATCTCTTGCATCTAACGTGAGCTAGCTGGTTGTTTTAGAATGTGTATCATATCATAATGGATCCCTTTTCTTTTATCTGCAAACTAAATCTAATACGGGTACAAATAAATAACCTGAGCCTGAGCTCTCCTGCAGATTTCAGCACAGATTGGTCGTTCACGATTGAGCATTATCACTGAAAAATGATCGGTGTACCCTCAAGTTTGTTTACCTCTTTAATGGTCACACATGCAGAGTACACAGTACACATAGTGAAATGTGTTCTCTGCATTTAACCCATCTTAGTACCAGGAGTCTAGAACCAGGAGTCTAGAACCAGGAGTCTAGTACTAGGAGTCTAGTACTAGGAGCAGTGGGCAGCTATTGTACAGCGCCCGGGGAGCAATGGGAGCGAGGGGGGAAGGGGCAGGAGGTGAACTGGGACCTCTCCAAGTAGCAGTCCACACTCCATACTTAGGTCTGGTCGGGGACTTGAACCGGCGACCGTACAGCTCACAGTCCAAGCCCCTGCTGACTGAGCCACTGCCCTGTTAGCCCCACACTTCTGAGGTCCCACCCCGCCAACACCCTGGAACATGGTACAGCAAATTGCGTCACGTCTTTGTGTAAATGCAACTTTCAGAAAGCATCGACCTCTGTTCACCAGCTAGCTGCTAACTGCTAACGTTAGCTAGCTTCCTGCAGACTTCCACAGTTTGATGCTCACAGTGTAACATTATCAGGACGAATGTCACCTTTATGAGTCTATAGTGAGTTTACTGCATGTATTAATAACAATAATAATACATGTAATATATATACAGTGCTCTTCTAGGTAATCAAAGTAGCTTGAACTATAAACGAGAACACTGTGTATGAAGTGATGAGTTTAAGGGTCCGCCTGATAATCTCAGACCTCGTTAATCTGACACAGAGTTCTCCGTTTACGTCCAGATGTTCTGTTACACAACATCTGGAGATCAACACATGACTTTAATATGATCCGCTTTACATAACGGCTCTGATCTGTAGAGAAACAAACAACACACAGCTCCCTCTTTAACCTGTTTGTACAACTTCACCAATCAGGTTATATTTTGAAGCGGATACTCTGATTATATTTCACTCTGTTAACGTTTCAAATGTTCGTTTTGTCCTTGGTGGAGGTCTGTGAGTGGCAAGGCTTTCCTGTGTATCTGGGTTTATCTCAGTCTTTGTGCTGCTGTGGATTTATTAAGGATTTTATTATTTTTAATCATATATATTGTGCTTCATGTCGTTGCAGCTTCAAGCAACAGACTCCATGTTTCTGTGTGTTTGCATCGTCACGTGGAAATATTCTGCATGTTAGCTGCGTCGCTTTACACATTTATCCAAAACTCAGTTGATCGACTCGTGCTATCAAGTCAATTAAGCATAGCACATTTTTAGAAAAGAGACGAAAAATGTCTGTAAAGTTTCCAAAAAGTAAATGAAAACATGTCTAAAAACTACAAGAAAAATATATTAAATTTTTTTGGAAAATATTAAAAAAAGTTAGACTGAAGCCTTTTTACTTTTGACGAGCTCTAGAAATAAATCCGCTAAACCGTATTTATTTCTAGAGCTCGTTCCATTGATTTGAAACCAGTATTGATGAGGGGAACCAGTCCTTCAGACAGGTTCAGGATCTTTGTGAACGTTGAGATCTGGACTACATTAACATGAGGTTTCCTCACCGCAGCATCTCGTTGTAGATCTCCACCATGCTGACGGAGATCTTGTAGTCCCAGTCCAGTTTGTCCGTCACCTCGGAGAACAGCAGGCGGAGAGCGCGCTGGTTGATGCCCGGGTTATCCAACGCTCCCTGAACACACCACACAGATACATGTTTCATACCACAGAAGAAGAAGAAGAGGGGCTCCACATGTTACCGTGGAAACGTCTGATGGTACCTCCATGGTGAACGTCTTCCCCGAGCCCGTCTGCCCGTAGGCGAAGATGCAGACGTTGAAGCCGTCGATGCAGGAAGTGACCAGAGATTGGACCTCCTGGAACACCTGAGGACCAATCAGAGAAGAGATATATATTCTGTTTAATAATTGTTGGATTATTGTTTAGTCGATTGATCATTACAGCTCTGTACCAACGTCTAAACATTTTGAAAAAAGTTTATTGAAAATGTCAGAAAAGAATATGAAAAATCTCCATAAAGTAATACAAAATATACAAAATATCTTGATAGTCTTGTGGTTAGTTGATTAATCGGACCAGCTCCATTAAAATGTCCAAAAGTGTTATGAAAAGGAGCGTTTGCAAGTTTGAAAGATATCAAAAATTTTGCAAAAAAAAGGTAAAAAACCCATAAAAAATATATGAAAATAAAGTGTGAAAAATAATAATATTTAGTATATCTGGAAAGTATGTGAAAAATCAGTCCAAAAAATCAGCCAATCCATAATTAAGAGGCTGAAAAACCACGTTTAACCTGTTAGCTCATGATAAAAATAATCAAATTAATAATAATAATAATACTACATGGGATTTTTATAACGCTTTTCCTAATGCTCAAAGACGCTTTACATAAAATCATGATGACCCCCTCTCTCACCTCCTCCTGCGTGGCGTGCGGGGCGAACACCTTGTCCAGGTCGAAGGTCATGGTCTTGCCCTTGTTGCAGAGGTAGAGCACGGCGTCGTCCTCGGAGTCGAAGCTCAGCATGGTCTTGGAGTCGGCCGAGTCCTGCTCGTCCTGGCTGACCGGACGCACGCGGCAGAACACCCGGATGTTGCCTGGCAGACGGAGAGCGGGGCAACGTTAACACAAAACTCAGCAACAGCAATTTTTAAAATCATCATCAGGGTTTTTTCTAGAGAGATATAGTACTGTGGCGCTGATCTTGTTCATAAGATATATTAATTCTCACGAGAAATTAGACAATTGACCAGAATAGCATGTTTTCGTATTTTGAAAAAGAAAAACGGATGTAGTATATATAAAACTAATTTATAAAAAGTAAAATGTACATATATAGGAAACCGTAAACAAAGGCAAAGAGACAGAGGTGCAAACTGAACATGGAAACAAATTGACTTGCATTCAAATAATAATCAGAAAGTAATGAGTAGTTTCAAAGCGTCCGACCTTTGAGGCGCACCAGCTCGTTGTGGCACTTCTTCCTCAGGTTCATTTCTCGCTTGTATTTCCGCAGCAGCTCCTCGTTGGTGCCGCTCACATCGCTGATCACCTGACAGATCTGAGAGCACAGGGCGCCTTCAGGATCAAAGCTCCAACTCAAAGGACTTGCTCATCCTCAAAACATTTCATCCGTCATTTAAAATGTATGTATCATGTATGTAATGTATGTGTTGTGATAGAGTTGCTCCGTTTGAAAATGTTAGGAACAATTCCAAAATATATTAAAAATATCAGAAAACAATCGAGAAATGTAAAAAGAAATGCTGCAACAGTTCATGACTGCAAACACGTCTTGTTCTTCTTCCTGAAATGTGATTTGACGGTTGTCTCCCCGCTCTCTCACCTCCTGCTTGGCCTCGCTGATGGCCTTCTCCAGCATGAAGGGGAACTCCTGCACCTGCCTCTTCAGACAGTTGTAGTCCGAGGTGAGGGTCCTCAGGGCCGGATGCAGACTCAGCAGGTTCATCCGGACCCCTGCAACACACACACCGTGAGGACACACACACCGTGAGGACACACATACTAACACACTAACACACGACACAAGCTGGTTTCTTGAACCCTAAACCAAATACAATTGACTTTTAAACAAAAGCAGACACTTGAGGAAGTCTTTTGGCTTTAAGGAAACATTTGACAAAACAACACGATTAACTGAGAAACTGATCAATGGACAGTAAATATAATGTTTAGTTGCAGCCCTTTAAACATAATTTGTCATCAACCCCAGAAAGAGTGAAAACAAAACAACGGAGAAGAACACGGACACACACACTGACCGGCCAGGTTCTCGTGCACCGCCTTCATCTCGCTCTCCGCCCGGACGAACGCCTCCTCGATGACCCGGTTCTTCTCCTCCTCCAGATTCTGCATCTCCACCTCCAGCTGACCCTGAGCTCGCTCCATCTCCCCCTCGTACACCATGATCTGACACACACACACACACACACACACACCTCGGTTAGGAGGAGGGCAGGGAACACAGAAAAAGCCTAAATCTGATCTCTAATCAGCTGCTAATCTAGAGTTTAGTGGAACTACTGGGAACTCTGGGAGTCTTTACTGGGTTTACATCTCAGATAATCTGACAGAGCTCTCTAACACTGGTGATGTCACAGGGAGGGGGCGGGGCCAACCTTGGGCGGTGTGCAAACCGTCTCGTCGCAGGAGAAGAAGTCGCTGAGACGTTTGTGATCAGAGATCATCTGCAGCGTCAGAGAGGAGGGTTAGTCTGTTTTAAATGTATTTAATCAATACTTCATTATATTCAAGATTTATAAAGATGTAAATGTTTTATTTTAGTTTGACTTTATTTATAGCTCATTTTATAGTTCATTTAAAGTGGACCTATCATGCTATATTTAAATGATATATTGTAGGACCATACCTATATAAGGTATATTTATACGTTTCTGTTTTCAAAATACCAAACGGATCATGCATTTTAGCCATGCCTCATTTCGCTCTATGTGCACTATTTTACCCCTGTTTTAGCAAGGGCTGATTCAGTGAGAACAGCACCATCTAGAGGCCTGGCATATGTACTACAGCGTCTCCAGCGCTTTCGAACGGCAATGGCCGTGGCTGTCTCCTCCTGATTGGTGGAGTTGGCCCACTAGCCGTAGCGCCACCGTCCTGACGTCAGGACAGTGTTCAAATCTGGATCAGTTTTTATCAGATCCGTTGCAGCCCCTTTTTTAGAGATTTGGGTATGGAGGAAAATAGAGAGGGTTGTGTTTTCTGACACTTGGTGAGTTCCCTGGAACACCGGGGACACATATTCATGTAGAAAAGACGTACAAAAGTGCATTTTGCATGACAGGTCCCCTTTAATGTATCTAAATAACATAATGTATTTAAATGGATTCCTTCCCGTAGAAACAGCTCCTTGTATCCGTTAGCTTAGCGAGCTTGAATGACACACAAAGACCCAGAAGCACTTGTACTGTTCTGTATCCTATTCTTTTCAATGGCGTTACTGACTGATCAGTGTGACAGACGAACAGATGCCACTGGGCCTTCAACTAAAGACACAGCCACGCAGAAACTGTGGCATGTGTACGGCTCCTTATGGGTACTGACATTTGTGAAGTGCTGGAGCGGTGTTCTGGTGCTCTCCGTCAGAACTACACCCTGCAGGTTGTGTTGTGTTACCTGTGTGCAGGTTGTGTGTGTGCGGTTGTGTTGCAGGTTTGTGTGTGTGCAGTTTGTTGTTGTTACCTTGTGCAGGTTGTGTGTGTGTGCAGATTGTGTGTGTGTTGACAGGGTTGGTGTGTGTCAGGTTGTGTGTGTGTGCAGGTTGTGTGTGTGTGCAGGTTGTGTGTGTGTGCAGGTTGTGTGTGTGTACAGGTTGTGTGTGTGTGCAGGTTGTGTGTGTGTGCAGGGTGTGTTACCTGTGTGCAGGTGTGTTACCTGTGTGCAGGTGTGTTACCTGTGTGCAGGTGTGTTACCTGTGTGCAGGTTGTGTGTGTGTGCAGGTGTGTTACCTGTGTGCAGGTGTGTTACCTGTGTGCAGGTGTGTGTGTGTGCAGGTGTGTTACCTGTGTGCAGGTTGTGTGTGTTTGTGTGTTACCTGTGTGCAGGTTGTGTGTGTTTGTGTGTTACCTGTGTGCAGGTTGTGTGTGTGTGTGTGTTACCTGTGTGCGCAGCTGGGCGCAGGTCCTCTGTGATTGGTGCAGCTGTGTCTCCAGCTCCCTCAGCAGCGCTCTCTGCAGGCCGAGCTGCTCCTGCAGCCCGAAGCTCTTCTTCTGCAGCTCCAGCAGCGCCCGCTGAGACTCTGGAGACTCAACCTCCACCGTCTGCGTCACCACCTGACGGGGGGCGCATTATACTGGTTTATACTGGTTTACACTGGTTTACACTGGTGTACACTGGTTTACACTGGTTTATACTGGTTTACACTGGTTTACACTGGTGTACACTGGTTTACACTGGTTTATACTGGTTTACACTGGTTTACACTGGTTTATACTGGTGTACACTGGTGTACACTGGTTTACACTGGTTTACACTGGTTTATACTGGTTTACACTGGTTTACACTGGTTTACACTGGTTTACACTAGTGTACACTGGTTTACACTGGTTTATACTGGTGTACACTGGTGTACACTGGTTTACACTGGTTTACACTGGTTTACACTGGTTTACACTGGTTTACACTGGTTTATACTGGTTTGCACTGGTTTATACTGGTTTATACTGGTTTACACTGGTTTACACTGGTTTACACTGGTTTACACTGGTTTACTGCTGGTGTAACTACAGTTTGCCTCTCGTCACCACTTCCTGGTTCTCCTGGTTTTTCTCTGGTTTATCTCTGTCTAACTTTTAACCCCGTGTTAACGCCATATTATACCAGGTTTTATTTATGTTTAGTCTCTAGTTTATCAATGCTTTGAATATAGTTTAAACTAAGTCACAGTCAGGTTTTATCCTGGTTAAGCCTTTTTCTAAAACACCATATTTTTTCAATTGATTCCAATGAGAACCGAGCGCATGCCGCCGTCAGAGCGCTCCGAGATGAAAGCATTTCAAATGATCAGAGAAAGTGCCGGTGACCTCCCGGTAGAGATGGATACAAAGCTAGTGGATCACAACAACGACCTAAAGCTTGTTTGGTGGAGCAGATCGTCCGGCTGGATACGTGCTGCTCTCCTCACCTGGACCCTGGGGGGCGAGGCTGCCTGTCTGGAGAGCTCCTCCTCACACTCCTGCAGCCGGACGCAGAGCTTCTGCTCGGCGTCCTGCTGCCTCGTCCTGGCCTCCTCCTGCAGCCGGGTCGATTCCTCCAGCTGCCGGGTCGATTCCTCCAGCTGCCGGTGGAGGCTCTCCACTCTGGAGCTTTTCTCCAGCAGCTCCCTCTCCAGCTCGGCCAGCCGGCGCTCCCTCTGCCGGGCCTGGCTCTCCCAGCGGGACACCTCCCTGCGCAGAGACTCCGCATCCTGCAGCACAGAGGGGGGGCTTCACTGAGGACACTTCACTGAGGACACTTCACTGAGGACAATGCACTGAGGACAATGCACTGAGGACACTGCACTGAGGACACTGCACTGAGGACACTGCACTGAGGACACTGCACTGAGGACACTTCACTGAGGACACTTCACTTTACCTTATGGATTCCATATTGGAAATGATTGTTTTTTAGCAGCAGGTTGTGAGGGCATGCAGATATACGTGTACATGTATATGAAGTCTACATAAATAAAGTATACATATATGAAGTTTCTATTTATGTATAAAGTATACAATGTACCTGGCTGTGGGGGCTGCTCTCTGTGTATATGTATATGCAGTACACAGAGTGTGTATTAGTACCTGGCTGTGGGGGCTGCTCTCTATGTATATGTATATGCAGTACACAGAGTGTGTATTAGTACCTGGCTGTGGGTGCAGTAGGGGCTGCTCTCTGTGTATATGTATATGCAGTACACAGAGTGTGTATTAGTACCTGGCTGTGGGGGCTGCTCTCTGTGTATATGTATATGCAGTACACAGAGTGTGTATTAGTACCTGGCTGTGGGGGCTGCTCTCTGTGTATATGTATATGCAGTACACAGAGTGTGTATTAGTACCTGGCTGTGGGGGCTACTCTCTGTGTATATGTATATGCAGTACACAGAGTGTGTATTAGTACCTGGCTGTGGGTGCAGTGGGGGCTCCTGCAGGAGTTGAGCTCCTGCTTCAGACGCTGGTTCTCGACCACCAGCAGCTCCAGCTGCTTCTCCAGGTCCGTCGCCCCCTACAGGAAACACAGAGAAAATAATATAATTAAATAATGTTTATTTTGCAAACTCAATCCATTTTTTATACGTTTCCAAATCAGCACACAACAATGTGTTGACTTCTCCATCTGTTAGAGTTTCTTACTTACACCGCGGTGTGACACCTGAACGCACCTCTCAGTCTCTCTGTGTGTGTGTGTGTGTGTGTGTGTGTGTGTGTGTGTGTGTGTGTGTGTGTGTGTGTGTGTGTGTGTGTGTGTGTGTTCCTCAGGAATGTGGTGCAGCAGGCTCTCACCAGCTCAGAGCGAAGTCTCTCCACCTCCTGCGTCTGATCCACCAGCTTCTCCTCCAGCTCCTCCACCTGCACCACACACACCGACACACACACCCACACACACAACACACACACACCACACACACACACACACACACACACACACACACACACACACACACACACACACACCCACACACACACACCACACACACTACCACACACACACACTACACACACTACACCACACACCACACACACACACTTCAACACGTTCAAAAAATAACTCTTAACTATAAAAGCAACGCTAACATAACTCGTTAGGAGCGTTGCAGCGCAACCACGCCGTCACAGGATTGACTCCAGCGTTGATGCTCTTCTCTCTCTTCTCTCTCTTAAATCTTTCAAAAGGGGCGAGAAAGTCCCTTTTTATAAGAAAAATGTGCAAAGTTACACAAATCTAACAGCTTTTTAGTCCATGCAGAAACACATTTGACTTTAAGCATGTATTGAAATTGTGAACCTAAACACGTCATAACTCAGTTCATAATGCTTTCTGTTCTAAAAATGATTTTATTATATTATATTTTCCTCATTTCATCTTTGTTTGGGGCAAAACATATTTCTGTAAAGTGACTCTCAAAAAGCGCTACATAAATTAAATGTATTATCATTTTTATTTTTAACAAAAATGAGGTATGCAACATCGACGGTTTGTTTTCCTCTCCCCTCTCCAGCGCGGCTCGGTGTGGTCACAGTCACTTCTCAGAACTGATTAAAGCTGAGCGCTGACAGGCCGATCAGCGATATGATGAATCTGTCAGAGTGCTTTCACGCCATCAGTCTGAAACACGTCAGAGACAGAAATGCACAGAGACAGAATCCAGACAGAAGACAAAGACAGTCTGACCTTTAGTCTACATGTTGGGGCTTCAAACTGCAGACGGACGGATGAGAGGAGAATATTCAGAGTTTAAATGTTAAGGACATGCAGGAGTTGCTGATTTGACCAGAGCGAAGGATCTGGTATGAACTTCCTATCTCCTAAGAAGGCATGGTCTAATTGACTTAGTTTCAATTAAGCTCACATTTAATACTTACAAACTCATTTAAGGTTATGAATATTTTTTTATCTGGGGTATTTGTTAAACGTTAGCTTGAAACATGTTGACGGTTTAGCGCTCTGTGTTTCCAGATCTCACACGCGTGTTGCCTGATCAGACACACGGTTAATATCCTCCCGATTTGTTCGTCTGATTTCAGTGTCAAGTTGTGTGTATATTAAACTAGCATAGGGTGAAGTGGATAGTCAAAACACTACTTCTATGAGAAGATAAGGGTCTCTGGTACACATCAATTACATTTGTGGGACTCTTTAGTTTAAAAATGACAGAAAGGAATAAACATACCTTTTGCATTTCTTATTTACTTTTCCATTTCCGCCTATGATTCATGTGTGCTTAAGTGTTAATATCACAAAGATGGTAAAAGGTATTGATATAATATTTGCTTTACTGTATGTCTACCTCTCTGTGAACATCCAGTCCAACTTTAGTGACATTCTGATAATTATTCCCAGAGATACACGGGATAAGGCCAACACGGCCCCCTTCAGAGGAGCCTACATTTTCACTATTTTCGGTTATGGGAAAGTTCCAAACATTAACCAAAAAAAAAGATTTTGCAGTAAAATATTTGTATACAACAATCTGTTTCATAAACTAGACGTATTAAAGTAATGATGGTTGTGCTTGGTTCTACCTCGGGTAGGGGTACCTCCACTTGAAGAGGCCTTAGTTCCTCTGTGTGGCTATAGTACAATATGCTCTTCAGTGACACTGAGTTGTCAGAGTCTGAGTTCCTGTTCGCTCCGACCGGCAGACGAACCTTTCTTTGCAGCCGCGTAACGAGCTGCTCTTCTTCTGGACTTCTGGAACAATCTGACGGTTTTCCGCCAGACGACAACACCCTCACACCTACACACACACACACACACACACACACACACACACACGATTAACAGATTTTTTTATTGTCTGCAAGATCTCCAACGTCAACAATGTCTGGAACTTATCTGACGACTCGGACATGACCATCTATCTGCAACCTCTCGTTTTATTAGAAGGTCTGCACATCTCATACATCTCCAACGTCTCTCACCCCTGCAACGTCTCCTTTATAATGACTGCAACCCCTGCAACACATCTTACATCTCTGAAGTATGCAACATATCTAACATCTCTGAAGTATGCAATATATCTAACATCTCTGAAGTATGCAATATATCTAACATCTCCAACATCTCTCATCTGTACAGCTACGTCTAATGTCTGCACCCTCTCTTATTTCTCTAATGTCTCTTATGAACCTAACCTAATGTCTTCAACAGCTCTCATCTGTTACAACTGCAACACATCCAACGCCTTCAACATTTGCAACCTCTCTAACGAATCCAAACCTTGCAACGTCTCCTTTCTAATGACTGCAACATATCTAACATCTTGGAAGTATGCAACATATCTAACATCTCCAACATCTCTCATCTGTACAGCTACGTCTAATGTGTGCAACCTCTCTGATATCCAACGCCTTCAACGTGACTGCAACCCCTACAACTTCTACAATGCATGCAACCCCTGCAACATATATCTAAGATCTGCAACATCTAATATGTCTAATATGCTTGCAACCTCTCTCTCTCTCTCTGATGTCTCTCATCAGGCCCCAACGTCTTCAGCATCTCCAACGTTTGCAACGTCGCTCCCCTGCCGTGTCTAGTCTGTAAACTCTCTTCCGTCCGCAACATCTGTAAATCCTGAGTGTCCGTAACAGCTCTAACATCTGTCTCACCGTTGGGCGGGGGTTGCAGCGGTTGCGGTCGCTCCTCCGGCGGCTCTCGGACGCTCGTCTTCTCCTGAGCGCTCTGCTGCTGCAGCTGCTGGAGCAGGAGGTGACGAGACACTTCCTCAGAGCGAAGACGAGCCTGAAACTCACACACTTTGTCCTGTAGAGTCTGAACACACACACACACACACACACATCATTTAGTGGTGATGTCATGTGGCACTAAGGAGCTGTTTCTATGGGAAGAAGCTGCATGAATCACGTCTACATCTGTGGGTGAGTGACGAGAAGAGGAGGACTACACATAATGGAAAAGGAGTACAGATAGAGGAAGAGGAGGAAGGCAGATTCATGTCTTTACGTTGGCAGCAGTCCAGCACCAGGTGACCCTCTGCAGACGAGGAGAGACGGGACAAAGATGGAGGACGAAGCCATGAGAGAGGAAGCAACAGAGACTTAATGACAGACATGAGGAGAAAGGAAACAGACTTTGCAGACGATTCAGATTCATTTCAGCAACAAGACCCACGAAGTCTGGAGCGATTCATGATCACAGCTCGTTACAGAGAAGCAGTGGTTAGACCTCAGGATACTACAACATGCTCTCAATGTGCCCTTCTCTTAGTCTGCCTTTTACTTCTGATTTGTATTTCACTTTTGATGTCATTATGACCGTCACCAAGGACGTCAGGTTTGTGCATTCAAGTCTAGAGAAATTAGAGTTACAGAGCTCTGTGTGTGTGTGTGTGTGTGTGTGTGTGTGTGTGTGTGTGTGTGTGTGTGTGTGTGTGTGTGTGTGTGTATAACTTGCAGAGTAACTAAAACATCAGGGTGGATCAACAGTGAAGTCTCTGAGTTGACGAGCGGGTCGACGGGAGGACCCGAGGCCAGGTGTAAACAGAGTTTGTGCCGAGTCAGCAGTGAGTCATCAGTTTTCAACTTTCTTTTAATCGTCGACAATAAACAGACAACTATAAGCTGTCACGTGCATTTCAAACGTGCACTTTATTTTCCTGTTACACTCTTTCTAGACCAGGAAGCTGCATGTTTCATAATAAATGTATATCAGAGTATTTGCATAGCTAGTTATTAAAGCAGACCCTCGCTGGTACACCTGTTCGTTAACACACATATCTAATCAGCCAATCACAGGGCAGCAACTCAATACATTTAGGCATGGTGAAGAGGACCTGGTGAAGTTCAAACGGAGCATCAGAACGGGGAAGAAAGGGGACTTAAGTGACTGGTTGTGTGGTTGTTGGTGCCGGACGGGCCGATCTGAGTATTTCTGATCTACTGGGATTTTCACACACAACCATCTCTAGGGGTTACAGAGACTGGTCCAGTTCTCTGGGAGCCTTTCTGATGCCAGAGGTCAGATGAGAAAGGCCAGACTGCTTCATCTCAGATATTTGATTTTTTTCAAAAATCTAAAAATTCTGACTCATTTTCTCAAAATCCTGACTTTTCAGAAAAATCTCAAGATTCTGACTGTTTTTCTCAGAATAATTACTTTTGTCTCCAAAATCTAAAATTCTGACTTTTTCTAAAGATTCAGACTTTTTCTCAAATGTCTTACTCTTTAAATCTCATAATTACTTTTTTCGCCAAATTCTGACTTTTTCTAAAATGCTGAATTTTTCATAAAATCTCTCAATTCTGGCATTTTCAGAAAACCTCAGAATGTTGACTTCTTAAAATAACAACAATTCTGACAAATGTTCTCAACATTCTGACACATTTCCTCAAAATTCTGACTTTTTTTCTCAAAAATGTCCGATCATAGAAAGGCAACTCTAATAACCACATCAAGGTGTGCAGACGTCCATAACGCAAGAGGGGGTCCAACCCAGTACCGGCAAGTTGTACCTGATAAAGTGATCGGTGAGTGAATTCTGGTTCATTCTGATGTCATAATCGCTCAGGTAAAACATTATGTTGCAAGAGTAAATGTGTAAGTCTAATATTAACATAAAAACACAACTGAAAAAGGTCAAATATTGGTTTCAGTGCCGAGCAGGGGTGTCAAACTCAAGGCCGTATTTGATGTGGCCCGTAAGAGCTCTGAAAGAATATAATACGTTTATTGTCCATAAACTACATGTCCCACAATGCATCTCATTTTGTGACATGCACACTGAAGAGACTTGCAATTATTTACTGTTCAGATAAATGACAGTAGTGGATGGTTAGTGTAATGACAGTAGTGGATGTTTAGTGTAATGACAGTAGTGGATGTTTAGTGTAATGACTGTAGTGGATGTTTAGTGTAATGACAGTAGTGGATGTTTAGTGTAATGACAGTAGTGGATGTTTAGTGTAATGACAGTAGTGGATGTTTAGTGTAATGACAGTAGTGGATGTTTAGTGTAATGACAGTAGTGGATGTTTAGTGTAATGACTGTAGTGGATGTTTAGTGTAATGACAGTAGTGGATGTGTAGCGTACCTGTATGAGCAGCTGCTGGCTAGGGGCGCTTGTTTCGCTCAGCTCTGCGCTCAGAGAGGGGCGGTGAGAGAGGCTGGGCAGAGACAGGAAGGAGGCGTCGTCTTCACCATCACTCATCAGGAAGTCCAGAGAGCTCGCTGCAACACAGAGGAGGTTCACATCAGGATCATGAGAGACGGTGAGCAACCTGCAGACACTACGCTGCTATGGACAATCTCTCAATAATGCTCAGAACATTGAAGTGACTTATGTTTTTATTTAGGTCTTAATCAAGGTTCAAGGTTCAAGGCTCAAGGTTCAAGGCTTTTATTGGTCATGCGTGCATAGCTACAGTGTAGTTATGACGATGAAAAGCTTAGGTCCCAGGCTCCTCCAACAGAGCGACACAATGAAACTAATAATAGTGAAAAAATACGAAAAAAGGCAAAGTTGGAGATGAGCCAAGAGACAATGCAGACATCTTCATGGCGCACTTGTAACGGCTTGTAACTAATGTGTGCACATGTACAAATGTGTCTTTGACTGTGTATATACATATTTGCACACATATTTTTATATACATTTGTTTTTATATTCGGGATTGTGGGAAACGGTATTTCGATCTCTCTACACACACAAACTGGAAGATTGACAATAAAGTTGACTTTGACTTTGTCTAATGGCGCATTTCCACTACACGGCCTCGCTCGGCCCCGCTCGGTATGGCTAGGCCTCGTTAGGACTGGCTCACTTTATGGCGCATTTCCATTACAGTTTAGGAACTGGGGGTAGTATCTATAGTAACGCAGTGTAGGCGGAGCCGTGACGTCATCTTCAATGAGAACCCCAGAAAAAACAACACAGCCGTTAGCTGTTAGCACTCAGAGCTCACAGCTCCTCATATCTGTTCAGAAACTAGACAAAAGTTAAACAAGTACAAACCACAGACTGCCTGTGTCATGGTGAATACAGTCGCTGCTTTATTTATGTCTGTATAGGCCGTTGTTGTGAGTGTGGACGGTCAGAGCATATACTGCGTTAGCTTAGCCAATCTCCATTTAGAAAACACGCATTTTAAAAGGTTTTTCGCCTGCCGTCTGTCTGCAGACTTGTCAAAGCATTAATTCATGGTTTTTACTAACCGGTATCAGTATGTTGTTACTTCGGCATCATTTTGAAACGTGTATTACAATTAAATCACGGTCAAATATGTCCATCTTGTTGTAGTTGTTGCCCCCTTGCCAGCGATTCTCTCTCTAGTTTAGCATACTCAGCCTCGTTGTCTCTGGCCCTAGACCCACGATTTTATGAGGCCAGAAAAACTGTGAATTAGGACCCGCCGGCCGGTACTAGGCCAAGTGGAAACGCAACCAAAGACGGGCCACTGACGTCACAGCCCTCTTAAACCGTGCTCCGCGCTGTAGTGGAAACGCGCCAATAGATCCCCTTCTGCGGATAATGCATCGTTCTTTTATCTCAAAACATTTCTAAATTCTTTGGATACATGTCTACAAAATACATTTTTTGCAATTGCAGGTTATTCTAGTATTGCTGGCCCTCATTTATTATACCAAAACCAATGAATTATTGATCAAAATGAATGCGATTAAGTTTGGCACGGAAGAGGATCCTTCGTCCTATATGTTGTACGTATATAGAAATAAGGTGCAGCGCTTTGACGCAATCTAACGGCAGCATTGAAGAAAAGGAGAAGCGTCTAGAGAAATCATTCAGGAAACAATAGAATATGTCAAACATATGTATTTAAATGTTCTCTAAAACAGAGAATGCTGTGAACACATAAATCCATATTCAAATCTTGTTCAGGAGATTTGTGTTTTTCCATGTAGATAAATCCTTTAACGTCACGTGGTACGACCGATCTTAATAATGACGTTATATAAAATGACACAAACAGTTGTTTAACAGCGAGTTGCACAGACCTCCTGATGTATGGAGAAATGTAAATCTCTTAAGGAGAGCAGATTTACTGAGTAAGCAGATTTGTAAAGATCAGAGAATAACGAGGTCAACGTAAAAAAAAAGAGAACACAAAAACACACACGTTGTTCCCGAGTTCACCTGAACGCATCACCACCATGAGAACCAGCCCGACCAGACAACAGGTGATAACAACTGAGTGAGTGTGTGTGTGTGTGTGTGTGTGTGTGTGTGTGTGTGTGTGTGTGTGTGTGTGTGTGTGTGTGTGTGTGTGTGTGTGTATAGGGGGGGTCACACACTTTCTACAAGGCCCCACCAAATCTCATCAACCTGAGAACAATCTGCACTCTGTGAGAGAAATCTGAGCATTACACAGACTTACCTCTCACACACACACTTACACACACACACTTACAGTACACACACACACACATACACACACACTGAATGTTGAGCTGAGGCGACACACTGATAGACCAGAAAACAGGATTACAAACACACACACTTGCATAAAAAAATGACGTGTGTTAGCTTTTTCTGGACGACAGTAAAGTGACGCTGCTGAAAACGAACGAACGAACACACTTCTTACCATAAGGGGTTTATTCAAACACTAATATCTAAACTGTGTTTTTCCTGCAGCTTTAAGTGTTTTTTAAAAGTATTTTATTCAGATTAATAAACAGGATTTGATGTTCAGTTATTAAAGACAAAAGCTTCATTTGGTGGATTGATCAAAGGTGCAAAAAGACTGTTGACTAACTCATAATATGAATTTAAATCATTATTCAAACGTGTTATTAAATTATTGACCTCGAGTTTCGATTGAACAAAATAAACTAACTAATAAACTTTAAACATTGTCAATTTACATGTTATGTGTCTCAGTTTTTAATAAATCCAGCAAATTAAATACGCAATAAATAAAAAGTCGTCTATATCAATTCAATCTTAATCATTTCATTTTCCAGCTTCAGAAATGTGTTAAAATGTTCTGGTTTCTATGATTTTCAAACTGAATATTTTGAGTTCTTTTGGTCAAGAAAATAAAATGTCTTTATAAAGTTCACAGAGGTAAACAATAGAGGAAAGTAGAAAACCAATGAGGATTTTAAATACTGATAATCAGCTTTTTTCTCGTCTAATCCTTTAATCATTGTGTCCGGAAACATTCAGAAAATGCCTTGTTTGTTTTTCTCCAGAATCTAAAGACATTACTGAGACAGAAAATGTTTTGAGAAAGGGACATGAAATGGTTATTAAAACAGGTCTACAGAGTGAGAGAGAGAGCCTCTCAGCGCAGAGAAGGAAATGAAAAGCCTCGGATGTTAAACCTGATCGTCTCCGGGGACGAAAGACAATCCGCTGGGAAAACATACTGACAGCGAACAACAACAGACACATAAATAATAAACAAATAAAAAAGAAAACGTGATATTTTCTGCTCACCTGTGTGCCGGAGCTCAGGTTTCCTCTCCCTGTGCAGCTCCATTCATTACACACACACACACACACACACACTCACACACACACTCACCTGTCATGCCAAAAATGCAGCCATGCTGGTGTTTGTGTGAAGCCCCGCCCACTATCTGACTCACCGTCCAATGAGATGTCTTTCTTCCAGAGCTCCAGGCAGGGGGCGTGGCCGAGGTCCCAGGTCTTTCTGGTGCTGAACATGGCCGCCGGGCTGAGCAGAGTGCAGGACCGCGGCACCGGCTGCACACACACACACCACACACACACACACACACACACACACACCACACACACACAGACACACACACACACACACACACACACACAAACACACAAACACACACACACACAAACAAACACACAGGAAGACAGGAGAGTTACACCAGAGTTTTCAGATTAAAAGAGGAATTGAAAACAGAGTCCAGTGAAGATGTTTTATGATTTTCTTCATGTGCAAATTCAAGATTTTCAGAATAAAGCACACACACAGGAAGACAGGTAGCTGGGTTTTTCAGAATAAAAGACAAATCAAAAACAAGAGACCAGTGAAGACTTTTTTTACTTAGTACTCCTCGAATAATAAGTCTACTCCTATATGAAGTCAACATTACATGTAACACACAAACACAAGAGCATTTCACCTGGGATTTTCGTAAAACTAAAGTCCATTTGAAAACGTGTTCAACTCCAATCATAAGTCTGGAAGTCCACAATCAGAAATTACAGATTTGTCTCAGGAAGGTTAACCACGGATGTATAGAGCGGTGCAGGAATGAGTCCTGGACCCTGAACGCCTCTCTAGAAATCAACAGGTATTTAATGGTAATTTGACCAAGATGTTGGAGGTGTCTGCCAATGATGGTACAGCGAGCGTTTTGCAGAAAGCAACGGTACATCAGACATGTGACCGACCAGGAATTCAACAACTATGACTCGTTCTAATTGGAGGAAAGTCGAGACCAAATGTCCCCATGATCAGAAGCAGAACTCCATTAAGGTAGAGCAGATACTGGAGATATCACCCATTCATTCACATTGACTGTCCCGCTGTGAGTATATCAGCTGGGGAGAGTACCATTATATTACATTTATCTGACGCTAATATTCGGAGCCAGACAGACAGCCAGACAGACAGACAGACAGCCAGACAGCCAGACAGCCAGACAGCCAGACAGACAGACAGACAGACAGACAGACAGCCAGACAGCCAGACAGACAGACAGACAGACAGACAGCCAGACAGACAGACAGACAGACAGACAGCCAGACAGACAGACAGACAGACGGGCTGTCCCGAATACCATTTTTCGGGCTCCGGATATTCGGTAGTAATCAGCAGCGAATATTCGGCCCACACGGGGGGGGGGGGGGGGGGGATGTAATCAGCAGCAAACCGCTTCAACACGTGTATTTTGTTTTTTCACTGGCATTCATTTTGTTATTCTACAGTATTGTTGTTTTATAGTTATTTGTTAATGTAACCCAATTTGTGTTCTTTGAAATTGAAAAGGATATCGCATGGTGTTTGTTACTTTTGTTGCAGTTGTATACGTCTTAAGTGTAATTTGGCTTGGCTTCCTATTTTGTATGGACATGCTTCTATTTTGAAGGAGAGTTAGCGCTGTTGACAGGAAGTTGTTGTTGCTATGGAAACAACTTGACGGAGATTAACGGAAAAAGTCATATCTACATATAAAGACGGAGAAAGTAAACGATAAAGTTTATGGTTAAGTGTTAGCACCCCCCGAAGAGGCACAAGCTCTTACGTTGAATAAATTAAATTGTTTGCGCTGCACTGCGGCTGCCAAAATAAACGAAAAAACGAATAACGAAATTGAAACCCGAATAGTACTCCAACTAACGAATATTCGGATTTTCGGGTACAGCCCTAATAGATAGATAGAGAGATAAGTACTTTATTGATCCCAATTTGGGAAATGTTTGCGTTGCAGCATAAAAAACAAGGAAATGAGAGAAATTAAGACACTAGAAATAAACAGTCCAAAATATTTCTGAAATAGATATAAAATAGCTCCAGCCAACCAAGAAGAACCAGCTCCAGAAAGCCCCAATCCTTCAGCTGCTTTAGCCACCAATAAGCAACACCCTTGTAATTGCTTCCTGGTTTTCATTGGCCAAACCGTTCTAACTGCTAGCTTCAGAAGTCTGTATTTATTGAAAATGGTTACAAAGCCTATGAAACTAAGGACAACCTGTCTGTCTGGGCATGTGGTGCCTCCAGTCCTGTCTGGGCATGTTGGTGCCTCAGTTCCTGTCTGTCTGGAGCCGTGGTGCCTCTAGTCCTGTCTGTCGGGCACGTGGGGCCTCTAGTCCTGTCTGTCTGGGCACGTGGTGCCTCCAGTCCTGTCTGTCTGGGCACATGGTGCCTCCAGTCCTGTCTGTCTGGGCACGTGGTGCCTCTAGTCCTGTCTGTCTGGGCACGTGGTGCCTCCAGTCCTGTCTGTCTGGGCACGTGGTGCCTCCAGTCCTGTCTGTCTGGGCACGTGGTGCCTCTAGTCCTGTCTGTCTGGGCACGTGGTGCCTCTAGTCCTGTCTGTCTGGGCACGTGGTGCCTCCAGTCCTGTCTGTCTGGGCACGTGGTGCCTCCAGTCCTGTCTGTCTGGGCACGTGGTGCCTCTAGTCCTGTCTGTCTGGGCACGTGGTGCCTCCAGTCCTGTCTGGGCACGTGGTGCCTCTAGTCCTGTCTGGGCACGTGGTGCCTCCAGTCCTGTCTGTCTGGGCACGTGGTGCCTCTAGTCCTGTCTGTCTGGGCACGTGGTGCCTCCAGTCCTGTCTGGGCACGTGGTGCCTCTAGTCCTGTCTGGGCACGTGGTGCCTCCAGTCCTGTCTGTCTGGGCACGTGGTGCCTCTAGTCCTGTCTGGGCACGTGGTGCGTCCAGTCCTGTCTGGGCACGTGGTGCCTCTAGTCCTGTCTGTCTGGGCACGTGGTGCCTCCAGTCCTGTCTGTCTGGGCACGTGGTGCCTCTAGTCCTGTCTGGGCACGTGGTGCCTCTAGTCCTGTCTGTCTGGGCATGTGGTGCCTCCAGTCCTGTCTGGGCACGTGGTGCGTCCAGTCCTGTCTGGGCACGTGGTGCCTCCAGTCCTGTCTGGGCACGTGGTGCCTCCAGTCCTGTCTGGGCACGTGGTGCCTCCAGTCCTGTCTGTCTGGGCATGTGGTGCCTCTAGTCCTGTCTGGGCATGTGGTGCCTCCAGTCCTGTCTGTCTGGGCATGTGGTGCCTCCAGTCCTGTCTGTCTGGGCATGTGGTGCCTCCAGTCCTGTCTGGGCACGTGGTGCCTCCAGTCCTGTCTGTCTGGGCATGTGGTGCCTCTAGTCCTGTCTGTCTGGGCACGTGGTGCCTCCAGTCCTGTCTGTCTGGGCACTGTGGTGCCTCCAGTCCTGTCTGGGCATGTGGTGCCTCCAGTCCTGTCTGGGCATGTGGTGCCTCCAGTCCGTAAACAAGCATCACTTCACCCCGTACCGCCTCAAACCGTCTACCACGACCAGCTTTGGTCCCAAGAGGCGTCCAACAGGTGATCAGCAGCTACAGCTCTGAAGCTAAGAGGACATGTTCTGCAGGAGAAGGTTGAAACTGCTGTCGGATATCTAAACCTCAGAGACCCTCAGCGGTCTCCAGACGACCTCTCACCTCTCTAGTCTCCGTTCTCTCTAGTCTCTTCACCTCTCTAGTCTCCTCACCTCTCTTAGTCTCTGTTCTCACCTCTCTAGTCTCCGTTCTCTCTAGTCTCCTCACCTCTCTAGTCTCCTCACCTCTCTAGTCTCTAGTCTCCTCACCTCTCTTGTCTCTGTTCTCACCTCTCTAGTCTCCGTTCTCTCTAGTCTCCTCACCTCTCTATTCTCCGTCCTCAGTCCACAGCGAGGCTTCCTCTCGGTCGGGGGGGCGTAGCGCTCCCTCTCCAGCAGGCTCTTGTTGAGCAGCGTTCCCACCCAGCACAGCATGCTGCCTCACATCCTCCAGACCACAACCAGAACCCTCACCTGCAGCCGCTCCACCTGCAGGATTACCTGGGTGTTAGCTGCTAATCCCCAGCAGATGGTGCCTTCAACCCCCCGCTGACCACAGCTTATTTACTCACCGCTCACTAACAAGCTAATGGAGGAAGCTAACTCTCTCCGTGCAGACTCTAAGATTCACTCTCCACTCAGAAGAGGTCTGATCCAGGTCTGGATAGAGAGTACTGGCCAGCTATCAGACTGGCTTTAAACACCACAGAGGACTCGAGCAACTCTCTACACCTACTGACCAACAAAGACACCTAGCAGAGAAGCTAAGTAGCACGTGCTACTGGTAAATGTTCTGTACTTATAAACTCTTTATCAGGTCTTTACGACCCCTCAAAGCTCTTTACATCCTACGAGTCATTCACCCCTCATTCATGCAGAGCAGCAGCACTTGCTCTAGAGACACACACACACACACAGGATACATTGTGAGTGCGGATTAAAGCTTTAAGGTTGGAGTAAGACGCTGGTATGCCACACACACACCAACACTAAATGTAAGTATTATTAATGATGACAGCTGCTGACACTTTTCCCTGCAGACTGCAACACACACTGCAACACACACACACACACACACACACACACACACACACACACACACACACACACACACACACAACACACACACACACACACACACACACACACACACACACACACACACACACACACACACACACACACACACACACACACACACACACACACACACACACACACACACACACACACCACACACACACACACACACACACACACACACACACACTACACACACACACACACACACACACACACACACACACACACACACACACACACACACACACACACACACAACACACACACACACACACTGAATGGAGCTTGAACGCACCTTCAAGTCAATAGCACCTACAAGAGTTGGCTGCTAACCTACCGGTAAGAGCTAGCAGGTGATTTAATGATTAATGACGTTTTCACACCTGTTTGTCTGAATGATAGGATGTATCTTTCTAATTGTGCTAAGCTGTAACCGGAAGCTTCTTTAACAAAAGGGACAACAAGCTGTTTAAAAACCAACAGTTTAGCTTCAATATTTCATCCAGACAATAAGATCCAGATCACTTCCTCTCTCCTCCTGAAACTGGGTCAAATCTTCCCCTTCTGTTTTTATCCAGTCTCCATGTGCTCACAGTCACACACACTCATGCACACACACGCTCATGCACACAC